GGTCAGCACTGAACAGGGCCTTGTCAGCCACGCGGACCTGGCCCCTCGCTGCCCTGCACTGGGCACAACACAGCCCGGCCCTTAGCCCCGCAGACCCCATGGCAGCAATGCTGTCGGAGACTTCTGCTGCCCCAGAGCCCAGGCCGGAGACCTCTGCATCCTCCCTGTGCAACCCACACCCCCCTGGAGGCACATCCCACCCTGCAGGCCATGCAGGGCTGCTCAGGCTGGGGCTCGGCCTTGGCTTGGGTCAGGCTCAGCTCTCAAAGGGCACTGGAGTGTGAAGGCACCAGGACACTGACCCTTCCCTTCCCTGTGGTCAGAGCATCCTCAGCACAGAGGGCAAACTGGCAGGGCCAGAGGGGAGTGGGTGAAGCCAGAGAGCCCTCTGCACACCTGTCACAGAGGTGGCTTGTGAAGTTGACCCAGGGCGGAGATGAGGAGAGGGCAGAACAGACAGACGGTACAGCATGTGCAAAGGCCGGAGGATGAAAGTCCATCCGTCCATCCATCCATCCATCATTGTGTATCCGTATGTCCATCCATCTATTTTTATTTTTTTGTCTTTTTGAGATAGGGTCTCACTCTGCACTTCAGGCTAACCTTGAGCTCACTTTGTAGCCCAGGCTGGTCTCAAATTTGCAATGATCCTCTCGCCTCAGCCTCCCAAGTGCTGGGATTACAGGCATGCACCACCATGCCCGGCAAATATCTTTTTTTTGGTACTGGGAATCAAACTCAGGACCTTGCACTTGCTAGGCACGTTCTTGTGCTGCTGAGCTACATCCCCAGCCCCCTTGTCCGTCCATCTAACCATCCATCCATCCATCGTTGTGTATCTGTATGTCCATCCATGTAGCCATCCATCTGTCCATCCAGCCATCATTATGTATCTGTATATCCATCCATGGAACCGTCCATCCATTCAGCTATCCATCACTGTATACCTGTCTGTCCATCCATCTAACCACCCATTACCCATCCAACCATTCGTCCATCACTGTGTATCCATATGTTCATCTGCCCATCTACCCCTCTGCGTATCTGTGAGTCCATCTGTCCATCATTTAAACATCAGTTGACTGATGCCCACCTGCCCACTTCTGTATCTCCCCACTGTGTGCTTCCATTCATCCACTCGCTTCTTCATCCATTCATGGTCCCGGGCTTCCTCCCTCACTCAGCTATGTATCCCCTCACCCACTGATTCATTTACTCCACACGCCTGTCCATCACTCATCTGCTCGTCAGCACTGATTGCCGATGCCCTTTCCCCAGCGCCACCTGCCGTGTCATATGGAGCCACCCAATGTTCACCTCTTCAGAGAGCCTTCCCTGACTCCCCTCTTGTTTTTTCATTTTTTAAATTATTTTTTACTTATTTATTTGGTCTTTGAAACAGGGTCTTGCTATGTTGTCCAGGCTGGCCTCAAACTTCTGGCGATCCTCCTGTCTCAGCCTCTCAAGTGCTGAGATTATAAGCATGCGCCACCACGCCTGGCCCCTGGCCCCTGACCCCTTTTCTAAAACTACACGCTGGTTGTTTGCCTCTCCTGAGCACCAGTGCCTTCCTCTCAGCACTTAGCCCGGCTGCTCTTATACCCTGTCATCCTGTGGTCAGCGTCCACCCCAGGGCACAGTTGTTCAGTGGACCAGACAAACACGTGTCCTCGCCTGCGTGGAGCTGCCCTTCTAATGAGGGCATTGGAGTACATAGTAAAAATGACCACAAACATCTGGGAGGTGGGAGGGTGAAGAATTCTGCAGTAATGAAGTGCAGAGCGGGGTGAGGTATCAGAGCCCATGGGAATAAACAGATGCTTAGGGAAGGCCTCACTGAGATGGCACAGAAAGGAGGATTGGGAGAAGAAAGTCTGGGTAGAAAGGATGTGCAAAGGCCCCGTGGCAGGAGGAAGCAATGAGCCTGGTGTAGCTTAGCAGTGTGAAAGAGTGAGAAAGGGGGGCGTTAGAAGGGGCCGGATGATGTGCAGATGCAGACTTGCGGGCCACAGTGAGGGCTCTGCTTTGGTGCTGAGTGTGCCTGGAACCAGAACAGGATTCTGGGCAGGGGAGGAGGAGGTCCTGACTTCAGAGTGAACTGGTTCCCACTGCCTGCTGCACAGGTCAATCACCATCTGGATCTGGTGAGAGCAGGACCATGTCTTTGTGCCTGCCCTCTTCTCAGTCCAGAGGTCCGGTCCCAAAACTACAGCCCAAGGGCCACATTGTCCCCGTTAGTGCCAATAAAGTTTTATTGGAACAGACCTTGCTCATCCTTTACATCTTGTTTTTGGTTGCTTTCACACTGCAGAGGCAGGGCAGAGCAGGCGCCACAGGAGCTCTTTCCCCTTCCCCTTTAGGAAGCCACCGACCCCTGTCCAGAGCAATACCTGGCTCACAGTGGGCACTGAGCCAATACTTGCTGTGGCAGAGCTGTGCCTGTCACTCATCGTGACCCACAAGAGGCCACCAGCTTGCTCTTGTCTCACGGCCAGTTCTAGCTCTCAGTCACATGTGCAAAAACAACAGCCCAGTGACCAAAAATAAAATGCTGGAACGTTCACATCTTTGCCACAGGGAAAGTGCCCGGGCAGAACTATAGTCAGGCCCCACAGTGAAAATCAACACCCTCTTTTTCTCAGTAAAGACTCAGGCTCCTGTCCCCCAACTAGACACAGAAGCTGTTCCCCCAATTTGTTATTCTTGCTGAAAAAATTCCAGCCAGGCGTGGTGACACACACTTATAATCCCAGCACTCAGGAGGCTGAGGCAGGAGGATCTTAAGTTCAAGCCCAGCCCGGACAACTTAGTGATTTAGAAAGACCCTGCCACAAAGTAAAAGTACTTCCAAAACTCTCTTCTGTCCACACGGCAACCGCATCCTGGCTCTCCTGTCTTCTCCCCTTCCAACTCCAACGTTTTATTTATGTACATCACTTCCGCTCTTCACTGGCTTTCCCCCACATTTCCTGCACTGCCCTTGCTTCTGCACACCCAGGTCATGCCTGCGGGCTGTGCCCTGGATCCTCAGCACACACCGGTCCCGCCGCTGCATCTGCCCAGGGTCTGAGCTTTCCCTTGAGGGCGGCGTAAGTGGCAGCCTCGGGATCCCCAGAGGGTTAGAGCAGTGCTGACCACCAGGGCTCACAACTGAATAGGGACAGCCCGCCAGGTCCCCACAGGAACAAGGCTGGGCTTTGTCCTGAGGCTGCTGCTGGCTGGCCCGGGTGGAGGGCAGGTGGAGGCTCAGAGGCCGACTCAGCGCCGTGCCAGGCCTTGGCTATCTGGGTCTCAGCCTCTCTCCTGGTTCCATGTCATGGTCTGATGCCAGACAATGTTGGTTCAAATCCAGGCTCTGCTGCTTTGGAAATGTGCAAACGTGGGCAGCTGTGCCTCAGTATTGTCGCTTGTGAAGTGGGTCTGATGGTAGTATTTTCCACTTACAGGGAGGATTGTGAGACCGATTACAGATAAAGGGTTTAGGATTATTTAAGTGCTTAATAAATACTGGGACCATTCCAATGCTGAGACCAGCATGCAGATCATAGAAAACCCTCAGCAAAAGGAAGCAGTGATGTGATCAATTTCCCCATAGATTGAGCAGAACAAAGGTTGCCTCCAGTTACCAGGCAAGTTTAAACACTTGGTGGGAAGATGACATCACTAGTTGCCAGGTAGACTTAGTGCTAACTTGGGTTGATGACATCACTGGTAACCAGGCAGATTATGATTAGACTATAGATTCCAGAGTTGCCTTTCCTATTTGCAATTCTGCTGTGTCCCAGCTCACACTCTTCCCTGATGCCCTCACGCACAAGTTTTGCAAAGAAGTGGGAGGTGATAGAGGCATTGGGAGTGGATGCTTGAACAAAGATCCTTGTCTTCCTGGGACTTATATTCTAGTGGGGAGACCTGACATACAAATAACAATACCAGTGTCCCGAGCAAAACCAAGCAGGGCTTAGCAGAGAGAGAGAAGAGCGGAGACTTTTGTAAAGGCCATCAGTCCATTTTGACAGGTGCAGAAATAAATCAGGGATCTCAGCAATGGCCAGGCCCACACAGCCACTTGGGGGGTCGGAGGAGCCTTAGCTCTGTGACCTTAGGATGTTTCCTGCCTCTCCCCCCGAGACTCAGTTTTCCCATCTGTGACTTGGGAACCATCGCCCCACGTTTGGGCGCAGCACGGTGATTAAAGGCACCGGATTCCCGAGTCGGATTGGGAGACGCCCCACCCCTGCCCTGCAGGCTGCCAGCTCTGAGACTTTCGGCAATTATCGCCGTCCTCTCAGCGTGGGTTTACCTCATCTGCAAGATGAAGATCTTAATGGCACCGGTTGCAAGGGGTTTGTTGCAAGGATTAAATGAAATCATGCAGGTAACGCGCTTTGCACAGCTGTTGGCAAACATCAGGCGCTCCATAAATGATCATTATTACTGATGGCATCGCCGCCCACGCCTCCCCTCGGGAAGAGAGCCCGGGACAGTGCCTGACCCGCGGTTGGCGTTCCACAAAAGTGAATTGCCTCTCCTGTCTCTCCCGCCGCCGGCTCCCGGGGGACCCAGGCATTCCGGCCTCCAGCCGCACCCCCCACGCCGGCACTCACAAAGGGCCCCATTCATCCCCTGCGCACAAAGCAGCCCATTCACCGGGTCCCGGTGGGCCTCCTGCTCATGCCCGCCCCCTGCGCCTTTCCATTGGTCACTTTTGCTGCTCGTCAGGTCTGGGGTCCCACCCACCACCGCGCAGCCTGCCTCTGCTCTCCGGCCAGGTTCTTTTCCCACGGCTGGCATCCTTCGGAAACTTCTGATTGGCCTAGCCTTCCAGCCGCTCTTCTTGATTGGCGGCCGTTGCCCCCATGGGCGGGGCCGGAGCTTGCCGCAGCAGGCACCGATTGGTCCCCGGTGCGCTCGTGGGGGCGGGGCCGTGGCGTGGGTCCACCCCTCTTTCTCCCCAGGCCGAAGCCTCAGGACGGCCCTGTACGCCGGTGAGTGCCCGGGGCCGGCAGCCCGCCGGGGGCCGCGGTGCCAGACTGGCCCCGGGGAGGCCGGAGCCTGGGGGCGGCGATCAGGGCCCCGGGGCCTGGCGCGAGCCACGGGAGAGGGACGGTGACGCGGACACTCACCTTGGGCGCACAGCGGAACGGCGGCGGGCGGGGGGACTGGGTGGCCCCGCGCCCCCCACCTTGAGTGGCCACTGCGTGCGAGGCCGGGTTGGGGTCCCCGCTGACGTTACCTGGCCTGTTCCACAAGAAGGGAAACTGAGGCTGTCTTTGGGCCCTTGGGCAGTTTAATACCTGAGTCATGGGCCTGCAGGCCCCCGCCCATAGGATGACAATGTCCGTTCCCCCAGTGAAAACTGCTGGTCACAAGGAGGGTCGTGACTGGCAGAGACAAAGGGGTGGGAGGGCGCATATCAGAGTACCTGCGATGTACTTGGAGGCTTTTTTTTTTTTTTTTAAGTTTTTTGAGGTCTCACTCTGTAGCCCAGGCTGTCCTCGAACTCGCAGAAATCCTCCTGCCTCGGCCTTCCAGGTGCTGGGATTACAAACGTGTCATCATGCCCGGCATTGATGCTTTTATTCTTATGACTAAAATGATTTCCTTCCGTTTTCCTATGAAGTCGAATTGGTTATATTTTACCATTTTACAGGAAGGAATGATCGGACTGGACAGAGGCAGGGCGGCAACGGCAGGGGGTGGGCAATATAACCCCTGGAGACCAAGCCTGTAGCAGGTCCTTGAGGAAGGGAGTGACCCGGGTGGCAGAGAGCCGGGAGCTGGGTTGCAGGTACCAGCTGGTGAGAGGGAGGTGACATTTCTGGGGACCCACTTACAACACGTTGTGCCGAAGCCCCATCCTTTAGGATGGCAAGCAACGGTCTGGGCTTGCGTCCCAGCTCCCCCGACAGGTGACCTTGAGCACGTTTCTTGGCCTTCCCGTGCCTCAGTTTCCCCACTGGAGAAATGCGGGTTCCGATCATCCCTCTCTCATAGCTTTTCGTCCTCATTTCACTCATGAGCCTGAAATGAGGTGGCTAGAATGACTTTCTGTTATCTTCTCTGGTACTCTGTGGATTGTGTGGTCCCATTTCCAGAGTTGGGAAACTGAGACTCAGAGAGAATAAATAAATGATCAGGTCCTGTCCCCAGACCTTTCTGCAAGTCCTTTTAATTTCCTGGGCCACGGTTCCCAGGCAGGGATTCGAACCCGGGGCGTCTTCAGCCCTCTGCGACGCGGGCGGTGACCTTTGCCGGTGGAGGAGGAGGAGGAGGAGCCCCTGGCGCCGCCGCCCACCTGGCCGCTGAGCGCCCTCCCCTCGCTGGTCGCTGTCCAGGGCCCTGCAGCTCCGGGATCCGCCCCCTCCCGGGCTGCAGGTGTGGGTGACATCAGAGCCCCGCTCCCGCCCCGCGACGCGACGTGGCCCCGCCCCGCGCTGGACCGCGGAGGAGCCGCACCTGAGCGCCGGGAGAGGACGGGGATCCCCGCGCCCCCTCCTCGGCTGCCCGGTCCTGCTCGCGCCCCCAGGTATCCCCAGGATCCGCGGGGTAGGGGTGAGGGGCCTGAAACGCAGGCTCTTGGGGATGGGGGAGATGGGGTTTTCCACTCCTAGATCCCAGAGGGAGGCTCGGGACCAAGTACCCCAGGTCTGAGTAAGGTCTGTACCCTCAGCCTGGAATCCCGGGTCTTCAGGGAAGGAAGGGGTAGGGTCAGGACTCAGAATCGGGGGTACTGACCCGGGATCTGCAGGAGGAGGCTGGACGTGGACCCCCGGGTCTGTGGGAGGAGAGGCCCAATGTGTGGGTGTCTGTCTGAGGGAGGCGGCTGAGTGTGACCCCCGTTCTGAGGGAGGAGGCCGGCCGGACTCCTGGTCTGACACTGCGCTGAGGTCAGAGATTGCAGTCAGCAGCCGAAACCCCTGCCCCAGGGCGGGTCCCTGCCGTCTCTGCCCCTCCCAGGGCAGGTGCTGTCACCTGCCTTGGTGACCAGGGATGAGTCCTGCCAGAGCATTCCTGCTCGCTGAGGCAGGCGGGTGGCCCGGGGCCCAGCAGTTCCGGGCCGGGCCTGCAGGCACCCGCTGGTCGGGGCCGCTGTCAACCCTGGGCCCCTGCGCCCACCTGTCCCGGGGCTGCTGTGAGCTGAGGCCCCAGGTCTGAGGAGGGTGCCAGCCTGTCCTTGTGTCCAGGTCCAAGGGAGGACGCGCTGGGCCTCAGACTCTGGGGTCCTGGGAGATTAGGACCCGGGCTCCCGGGTGGTAGAGAGCATGGCCGTGGGAACCGGGGCTCCTGGCTCCGGGAAGGGAGGCTCAGGGCTGGCCATTGCAAAAGCTCCCAAACCTTCCTGGTCAAAGGCCGTGCGTGGGAGAGGAAGTGGGTGGGGCGCGGTGGGGGGTAAAGTCCCTCAATGAAGCTGGCTGTGGGTGTATCAAGGCCCTGCCAGAGGCCTGAGAGAGCCTTGGCTGTCGGGACTCGGGGAGGGGAGAAACGCACTGCCGTTTCCCAAGAGCACGGGACCAGGAGGAAGGGAACCACGCGGGCACCTGGTACCGGTGCTCACCACTGCTGTCTGTCCCTCAGCACTGCTGTCTGTCCCGCATTGTCTAGGGCCCCTGGAGGGCAGGGAGGGGCCCAGTGCACCCCAGGGTAGGTAGCTCACCGCTCTGCGTGCATGAACTGAGATGAGGTCTGGTCCACCTGAGACTGGGGGAGCCAGGGCCCCAAATGCTTCATCTCGGGCTCCAGGCCCCTCCCCCCCACCTTGGCAGAGCCTGGCATGGGAGAGGCCTCGGGGTGCAGGGTAAATGGAGGCGTGTGGGTACCAGGAGGGAGGCATTAACCCAGGCAGCAGGTGTGTGGCAGGAGTGACTGGGTTGGCCAGGGAATCTGATGACAAAAATCAAATCATTTTCCTCCTGGGGCTCACACTGAGTAAAGCTCGAGGTTGTTTTTGGTTTTGTTTTTTGTTTTTTTGAGAGAGGGTCTCACCATGTAATTCAGCCTGGCCTTGAACTCATTGTGTAGCAATCCTCCTGCCTCAGCCTCCCAAGCGCTGGAATTACAGGCATGGGCCACCAGGTCTCTCTTATCTTACCTGCCACCCTCTTCCCCTCCACCGCTTCGCTGTAGCCAACCAGGCCCCTCCTCAATGCCCCAGACTCTCAGGCACCTTCCTGCCTCAGGGCCTTTGCACTGTCCAGGCCACTTTCCTCCCAACACCCCGGTTGGTGGCTTTTTCCCTTCACCTGCCTCCAATCTTTATTTAAAAGTGCTGCATTGGAGATACCTTCCCTGGACACCCCAATCAGAACTTCACTCCCCCAGCCTTAACACCCACATTCCCTGCTGTATTGCTTTCACTGGCGTTTATCACCACTTACTGTACTATATAATTTACTTATCTGCCTTTTATCTGTCTCCTGGGAGTAGATCAACGCTGTCCAACATAAACACTGCAAGCCAGATGTGTAATTTAAAATTTTCTAGTAACCACATTAAAAAAAAACAGAGTCATGTAATCCCAGCACTCTGGATGGGTGAAACAGCAGAATCACAAGTTGGAACCCAGCCAGGGCAACCTAGTGATTTGGCATGATCCTATTTTAAAGTAAAAAAAA